GCGCTACCCATCATCAGAAGAATACTTGATTTTGATATCTTGGAACTTTCCTTGCCTTTACTCACATCTATTCATTTAGAAGAGAATGGACAATGCGTATTCTTCTCCTCCATATTGTCAGGCTGAGGATGCTGTAGCTGAAGACACCATTAAGACTTTGCCTGGATGGAACTGTGTTTCCCAAGGGGCATAGAACTCATCTGTAACTTGTTGATCTACTTTTATTTCATTCCCAGAAGTCCAGAAAATTTTCTATGATGTTCCAAAGACAAGTAATAGTGATGGATGTTGGACCATCTAAGTAGCTAGGTTTTCATTTTATGTTAAAGCACTGTGTGAGTAGATTGTGTGGCCCTTTCACCATAATAAATGATGACAACCTCAGCCTCCAATAAGCTGATTTTGAGACTTAAATATGCATGTTTCTGGAATGACTACCATAGAGACTGTCAAAATCCCTAGGGTACCATCTGGAAATGGATGGATCAGTCTCTGTGGCCCATACCTGGCTTGTATGTCAGAAGTGCTGTATCACCTGTGAAATGTCCAATGCAACATCATGCATATAGGTCTATACGTTTGGTGTAGGAGACAAACAGTGCATAAAATAAGAATATTATTTGAATTTTATTTGAAGCTATTTGAATAGTCAGGAGGTATTCACTCCAGGTTCATGTGAAATATTATTTACACTTCAAGGGTATGAGTAGAGATCAGTGTGTTTCTCTTAAGCTACAACAGTTTTGATCTTTGGATCTGGAATGGCCCTCAAAGTCCATGTTATAAACTGATTGGCTCCCAACAGCCTAGCTTGGGGAAAGTGACTGGGTCAGAGAAGCAGAGCAGAAGCTCACGTTCTCATGGGGTCCTTCTCCTATAGACCAAATGTATTTTTGTTTGTCTGAGACATAGGTCTAAAACTCTCTCCACTGATTTCCTTTTTAAACTTACCAACCAAGCTTTTATGACTTTTGATCAGACTTCTTTTCCCCATGATGGAAAAGGATATGGTGAGGGCCATTTTGTTCAGTACATTATAAGATATAGCAATAGAACAGTATCCCTTTTTAAGATAGTCATTTATTCTCTGCTGGATTTGGTGAGAATGTGGAATAGTATCTAAAGTACATTTGGTGAGAATCATTACTGAAAAGAAAAGTAGCATAAACCAATGAATGAAATGTTACAAGCAAAAGTATTGCTGGTCTATTAGTAAAGTGACCATAATTATTAATGATATATATTTAACTTTTATTTTATGATTTTAATTAATGTATCACAAAATGGTAAATGATTGAAATAGGCTATATGCTAATTATATGTACATGTACACTTATTTTGAAACATCACATATAGTATAACCTCATTAATCTGTTAATTTTTTATTAACACTTTTCCTTTATTTTTAAATATTAAAAATATTAAAAAAACATGACAGAAGAGATTCATAACCTACCATCCCCTTACTGAAATTTCATTGTCATTAGGCCTACAGTGGGTGGTAAATTTGGCATAATCTAGAATCATCTAGAAGATAAGCCTCTGGGCATACTTGTGCAATATCTATATAAAGGTCAGTCTTTGAGAATGTCTGGGAAGGATCATCTTGATTAGTTGAATTCACCTAGGAAAGCCCTTATAACTCTGGACAAGACTGTTCCCAGCATCTGGATATTGACCTTCATAAAATGGAGAAAGTGGCCTGAACTCTAGCATTCTCTACACTCTACTTATCAGTTGTGTATGTGATGTGAGCAGCTGCTTCATGTTCCTTCCAGTTTGTCTTCCACACTATAATATGCTTGAACTGTGTTCACAAACACACCATGTTTCTAAATAAGGATCAAAAGTTTCCTTTACTTGCTTTTGTTAGTGCATTTTTTTTGTTTTTGTTTTTCATAACAAAAAGAAAGGTCCATTCCTATTAACATGAAAGTGGCTTCTTCATGATGTAGTTGTTCAGGAAATGGATGTATAAAATTATATTGGTATAATTCAAAATAGCAGTAAATGTATATTGGATAAATGAATATTTATTTTAAATCATATTGTGGTTTAATGGTGAAATTTTAACATCTGATAAATAATTTTCATTGGGTACATAATTCTATGAGCTGTCTTGTAACCAGGTGATTAATGCTGTACATTTTTGAGAGATTGTCTCCATGTATAGATTAGATTGGCCCAGAAGTTTGCATGTACCCCAGGCTGGCCTAAAACTCAAAGTCTCCTCATTTTGTCTCTCGAGTTCTGGGAGTACACATGTGAATCTCCAGCCCTTCTCATATTTCATTTATTTATTTTTCTCTTATACTTTACACATGATTCTGGCTTTATAATTTACTTCTTACATAAACTTCCAAAGTTCAATAATATGAAGTTCTGGCAGCTTCTGCGATTTCTCTTTTTTTTCTGCTCTTTTTTATTTTTTAAATTTATTTCATTTTATTAATTACAGTTTATTCACTTTGTATCCCAACTGTAGCCACCTCCCTATCACCTCCCAATCCCACTCTCCATCTCCCTTCACAACCTATGCCCCTCCTCATGTACACTGTTGGGGAAGTCCTCCTCCCTTAATTCTGATCCTAGCCTATCAGGTCTCATCAGGAATGACTGCATTGTCTTCCTCTGTGACCTGGTAAGACTGCACTCCCCTCAGGCTGAGGTGATAAAAAAGCAGGCCACTGAGTTCATGTCAGAGACAGTCCATGTTCCCATTACTAGGGAACCCACTTTGACACTGACCTGCTGTGGTCTACATCTCTGCAGGGGTTCTAGGTAATCTACAGAGTTTCTAGCTAGTCCTTGGTTGGAGTATCAGTCTTAGAAATGATTCCTTTGCCCAGATTTTTTTTTCTCTCCTTGTGGAGCTCCTGTCCCCACCAGGTTTTTCTTCCTCCCTCTTCTTTCATGAGATTCCCTGCACACTGCCCAAAATTTGGCTATGAGTCTCAGTGTCTGCTTATCACTATGATTTTTTTATAAATAGTTAATTTTCTCTTTTTCACCTTTTGGATAGCAACAGTTGCTGCTATAGTGTTCAGTTGGTCTCTCTAAAATCAGTAAGTACCTTAGGACGGCTGCTCCTACTTCTGGAGAGACTTGCCTGTTCACAATCTCAGAAGCCTCTCCAGGTCATATTAACTCCCCCTTCTTTCGTATGATTCCCTGCACTCTGCTGAAGGTTTGGTTATGAGTCTCAGTATCTGCTTTGATACAATGCTAGGTAGAGTCTTTCAAAAGTCTGCTGTGGTAGGCTCCTGTCCTGTTATTTGTTTTCTCCTATATCCAATGTCCATCTCATTTGTCTTTCTAAGTGAGGATTGACCTTCTTACCCTGGCTCTTCTTTGTTGTTTGTCTTATTTAGGTGTATAGATTTCATTATGTTTATCCTATCTTATAAGTCTAAATAAGCGAGTATATACCATGTGTGTCTTTCTGCTTCTGGGATGCCTCACTCAGAATGATTTTTTCTAGATCCCACCATTTGCCTGCAAATTTCATGATTTCCTTGTTTTTAAATTCTGAACAATATTCCATTACCACAATTTCTGTATCCACTCCTCCCTTGATGGACATCTGGGTTGTTTCCAGGTTCTGGCTACTACAAATAAAGCTGCTACAAACATGATTGAGCAAGGAGAGTAGCTCAACAGGACCAAAAATATCTGAGCACAGGGGTCTTATATGAGAATGTTTCTCCAACCAAGGACCATGTATAGATAGAACCTGGAACTTCTGCTTGGATATAGCCCATGGTAGCTGAGTAACCAACTGGGTTTTCCTAGTAAGGGAACAGGGACTATTTTTGACATGAATTCAAAGGCAGGCTCATTGAATTCCGCCCCCCCCCAAGGGAGGAGAAGCCCTGCTAGGTCACAAAGGAAGACTTTGCAGCCAGTCCTGAAGATACCTGATAAACAGGGTCACATGAAAGGGGAGGAGGTCCTCCCCTATCAGAGGACTTGAAAAAGGGCAGGGAGCAGATGAAGGAGGGAGGGTGGGCTTAGGAGGGAATGAGGGAGCAGGATACAGCTGGGATACAGAGTTAACAAACTGTAACTAATAATAAAAATAAAGTAAAAAAAATCCCTTATTTTGTAAACTTAAAAAACAATAACAAAAACAGTCTCAGAAGCCCATTTTAATCCAGTTTCAATACTGCTAATTTCTAAATTACATTAATATTTGTATTTCTTGAATAAAAATTCATGGCAGTTTCCATTTATAGGAATGACTTCTTGAAAAATATGGTTTCCACTTTTATTTCTTCATATTTAGACCCCTCTTTCAATTTACTGATACTATAGGGATAGTTGATAGTTTCTGATGGATTTCCTTTGCTTTAAGATTAAAGTAGCTCTGATCACACTCTTAAATTAATGTCCACTAGGATATCCACAAAGTGAATTCTGGACTGTTCTTTGCATCTTAGTCCCTCGTTTATAAAAATCTAGAGCCCAAGTATCTGAGCCCTGTTCTTTGTCTTTAGTATAAGATAGGCTTTGGATATGAGTAATACTGAACACATCTGTCTTCAATTTTCTCTTTTCATTTCATCTTTTCTTCCTTCTACCCTTTCTTTCATTTTTTTCATGCTTTCTTATTCTGTTTCTTTTGTTGTTGCTGCTGCGATGTTTTTGAACCTATACTATCATTTCCCTAAGATTGTCAGTATGAGGTAGCTCTACTAATGTGTTTACAGAAGTCAATTTATTTAACTATGTCGTGGATTTTAACCTAGGTCTGCGATTAGAGCACTTAGTGCTTTTCTGTTTGAAAGCTGTCTTTCAAAGGCAATCTTTTTCAGTAATTGCTCATGCTCCCTGTAATAGTATTTTTGTCTGTTGACTGACAACAGCTACACTCAAGGACACTGCACAGGCATTTGCTTATGCATTTGCAGACTGCTTTGCATGGGCCCCCACAGCTAAGCCCAGCTGCTGAGAATATATAAACCAGCCTTTGCAGTGAGAAATGAACTTCATCAGACAGCAGTGGGAGCAAGATGAAGTCACAGACCCAGGTCCTGATATCCCTGCTGCTTTGGGTATCTGGTGAGAAATTCAAAATATTATAATCTTTATATAGTGACTTCTTTGTAGATAAGAAGTTTAGAGTGTGCCAGTCTCAATATTTCTTACATAATAATACTCTGACAAAATTATAGTACAAAGGTGTTAAATGGCAAATTTTACATGTTTTTACAATCTGTGTTTGTGTCAATATTCATGTTCATTGTGTGCTCCTGATTGCAGGTGCCTGTGCAGACATTGTGATGACCCAGTCTCCATCCTCCTTGGCTGTTTTAGCAGGAGAGAAGGTCACCATCAGCTGCAGGTCCAGTCAGAGTCTTTATTACAGTGGCAACCAAAAGAACTTATTGTCCTGGTACCAGTACAAACCAGGGCAATCCCCTAAGCTGCTGATATACTGGGCATCCACTCGACACACTGGGGTCCCTGATCGTTTCACAGGCAGTGGATCTGGGACAGATTTCACTCTCAGCATCAGCAGTGTGCAGGCTGAAGACCTGGCAGTTTATTACTGTATGCAGGGTTACATCCCTCCCACAGTGCTTCAGCCTCCAACACAAACCTCCTTGAGAGTCTCACCAGCTGCCTGCACCACACACAGCCATGGCTGTACATACTTCCCCTTCAGCTTGATAGCAGGTGTGACTGAAAGCATGATGAAAAAGTTTGCAGACCCCTTACAAAATTATGGGTTCAATGATTCTTATGTCTTTTGGTATAAAAACAAACCTTTATATGAAAATGCAAAAAGAACCCAGTATTATCTTTGTATTCCTTCTGTAACACATTATTACAAACTCTGCTCTTCAATATTAGAGATTTTTCTTTTTACAGTGTTGGAGTTTTGATATCCAACATAGTGATGATGACTGAAAACTTCATTTCAATTTGGAGTATTAGGGAAGAGTACATTTCTTGGTTTTTCTAGATTGTAGAGTACTTTTCTTTGTTTTTTTTCTTTCTTTTCTTTCTTTCTTCCTTCATGCATTCCTTCCTTGTGGTGCCCATATCTGCCGCTTATTGTTTTACTTTCCATAAGAGCTTTGAAATATTACTACATTTTATTTAACTAACTTTGTCTGCATTCATGTGAGTGTGCATTACTATGTCGGTATGTGCATATTTATAGGTGCAAATATGACATTGTATATTTATGGAGGTTAGAGGACAGTTTAGACCTGACTCTTTTTGACTTTGATTTCTGGGAATCAAACTCAGTTTTGACATCAGCCTTGGTGGAAAATGTCTTTGCCATATGAGTTATGTTGTTGTCCCTTAAAGTATTTTATGGATGTTAACTAATTGAACAAACTTTTCATGAAAGCCATGTCTTTCCAATGTATAATGTATTTTGACCATAGGCACTAACCTTCATTTTGCTTTCCCTTTCCTTGTATTTCTTCTTTCCTGTCAGGAGGCATTCAGGGAAAGGTATTCAGGAGACATCTGGGATTTCTGGAAGGCAACATAGGTTTGTTTGTTTGTTTGTTTGTTTGTTTGTTTTCCCAAGGTCTATACTAGAGGTAATTCTGAGGTAGAGACTGTGCCTCTAGAATTTCTTCCTCTAACTGACACCCCGTTTTTTTGGTCCTGCTATTACAGTATTTCTCAAAACTCTGGTATGGTGTGAAAGAGGCTTCACTGCCATCGTTCCCTGGGTATTTACCCATCTTGGTTGAGGAGATCTCCTACAGGATTTTTGTGAATATGTACTGCTGTTCAGATGAATTGATGATTCCATAGTGCCTGACAATCATTTTATACATTTCCTGTTTTGATTTAAACATTTGAAGTTAAGAAGTTAGATAGTTGATAGAAAGTTATAGCTACAATAAAAACCTCTATGAGCCTCCAGATGCCAAGTACATATATCTCACAAGAGACAGGTAAGGCATGACAGAGACTTATTGTCCCAAAGACTTGCCCCTCTTTTCTCTCTCTTCTCTCTTTCCTGCTTTGCCCAGAGACAGCCTTTTTCTCTTTTCCCCTACTAAAAGCTCCCATGTGAAACCTGTTGGTGGTGTGATTTATGAACCAGATGTAAAACTCCACCACGCTATCCTAAAAATGTACTTGCATGTAAATATGTCCATCCTTTTTTATACATATGTTGCATGAATGCATGTCAATTTATCTGTTAAGAGCGCCTTTTCTGTTTTGTCTACTGATGTGTGTATAATCAAGGCTAATGAGTGATCATTGGGCTGATACAATGGAAATGGCCACAACAGTTGGTCAGGAACAAGATTTCCCCGAGGGAAGCCTGGATGTGCTGCAGCTTCTACAGAGAAGATGCTAGTTAAAATCAATGCCATTATCAAAAGTTTAATAAAGCCCAAGCCTCTGCCAGCTGGCAGCCATTTGGGCCTTGCTTTCCAAACACTGACAATTAAGCTTTGATTGTGCTGGCCTCCTAGGGAGGACTCCATGGTACAAACTCCACTGTCTTGAGTCCAGTCTCAAAGACAGGACTCAAGCTATTCTGGACTTAGTACGTAGTGACAAACTGTCCAGAATCCCTTCTTGACTTGCAGTCAAGTCCCTGGCTTCCAGCAAGTTGCTGTACAAGCTAGCTTCATTGAAAGAATGGTGCTGAGATTCCTTTTATATAGTTCTAGTTGTTTCTCATTGCTGGAGAAGACAGCTCCAACAAGCCTTTCCCTAGGCCAAGGCCTTCTTTTCAGACAGTCAAAAGCTTCATGGCCCAGTCTCTAGCATTTTGAAGTAAGTAAACTGAGTGGACAAGCCAGGGGCCCTTTTTCAGTCTAATTAGGGCTGCCTGCTGTTAAAAAATAATAGCCCCAATTTCTTGGCTCTGCTGGTCTCCTTGTTGAACTCCTCCCCCACCCCAGGTCATTCTATAGTCCTCTTTTATAAGATTCCATGCACTCTGTCTAAAGTTTGCATCTGCTTTGATACCCTCATCAGTAGAGTCTTTCAGAGGCTCTCTGTGGAGGGTACCTGCACTGCTCCCTCTCTTCTTCCACTTCTGATGCCTATCCTGTTTGCCCTTCCGAATGAGGATTAAGCATCTTCCCTAGGGTCTTCCTTGTTGTTTAACTTCTTATATTCACATCCATCATCCAGATCGGCTTTATTTTATAATCACCCAACTGTGACTTCATTTTTATTAACCCATCCAATGAGCCTGCAGGGACTGATAATTGAATGAAAGACCATGAACGGAGAGGGCTTAGACACCCTGCTCAGATGTAGCCCATAGGCAGTTTAGTTTCCAAGCAGGTTCCCTAGTAAAGTGATCAGAGGTTGTCTCTGACATTAACACAGAGGCTGGCCTTTTTATCACCTCCCCTTGGGATGTACAGCCTTACCCAGCCACAGGGGAAGAAGATACAGCCAGTCCTGATGAGTCCTTATAGGCTAGGGTCAGATAGAAAGCAAGGAGGACCTACCCTATCAGTGGACTAGGGGAGTGGCATGGGAGAGAAGAGGAAGGGAGGAATTGGGAGGTAAAGAGGGAAGGGGCTACAGCAGGAAAACAAAGTGAATAAATTTTGATAAAAAATAAACATGAAAACAAATTCCAAGGAATAAGTCAAATAAATAATCTTAAAAAGAAAAGAAAAGAAAACCCTTAACTAAAGAGTGGCTCCTGAAGCTTAAGAGCCAAAAAGTAAAGTTTCAGTTGGCAAGGCACCAGATCTTAAGTCTGCAGGTTCAGGTTCAAATCCAAGGCTCCTCTCCTATTGAATTCTTGTGACCATTGGCCCCAAGTAGCAAGCCAGCCAGAAACTTTAAGAGTTTAAGTATAAAATGAGAAAAATCGGATTCTATGTCATTCCATATTCTGATGAAGAACTTATTTAACATCTAATTTGGAGGTATGGCAGGAACCAAGTTTGTTACAGACTACATGAAATTGCTGGAGATCTCCAGATATATCTAAACTGAGTGGTTCTCTGATCGATTCTGGTGGAGGAACCCTTGCGAGTAGGTCAGTAAATTTATAAACTCCCCAAATTAACCAAAAAGGGGTGCTTAAACCAACAGATATGAATCATACTACAGAAACACAAGCTCATAAAAAGTCAAGTGGGAAATAATCACTCCAAATGATCATAATTCCCTCAAGATTTCAACTAAAAATACTGAAATAAGTAAAAATTTTCAGTGAATATTTATAAAATATTTTTACACAATGGAATACTACTCAGCAATCAAAAATGAGGAAATCATGAAATTTGCAGGCAAATGGTGGGATCTAGAAAAGATCATCCTGAGTGAAATATCCCAGAAGGAGAAAGACAAACATGGTATATACTCACTTATATAGACCTATAAGATATGATAAACATAATGAAATCTATACACCTAAAAAAGATAATCAAGAGAGCGGACATGGGGTAAGATTATCAATCCTCATTTTGAAAGACAGATGGGATGCGCATTGAACACTGACAGGAGTCTACTGAGCGCATTTGAAAAACTCTAACTAGCAGTGTTTTCAAAGCAAAGACTCATCATCAAACCTTTGGCAGAGTACAGGGAATCATAAGAAAGAAGGGGAGTTAGTCTGATGAGGAAAGGATAGGAGCTCCACAAGGACCAAATATATCTGGGCACAGGGTCTTTTCTGAGACTGACATGCAACCAAGGACCATGTATGAATGTAACCTAGAACCTCTGCTCAGATGTAGCCTGTGGTAGCTCACTAACCAATTGGTTTCCGATAGTGAGGGGAACAAGGACTATTTCTAACAGGAACTCAATGACTGGCTCTTTGGCCTCCCCACCCTCCAAGGGAGGAGCAGTCCTGTTAGGCCAAAGAGGAGAGCTTTGCAGCCAGTCCTGAAGATACCTGATAAAACAGGATCAGATGAATGGGGAGGAGGTCCCCCCTATCAGTGCACTTGGCAAAGGGCACGGTGGAGATGAGTGAGGGAGGGACTGGGAGGGAATGAGGGATTGGGACATGGCTGGGATACAGAGTTAATAAAATGTAACTGGCTCAGCGCAGACCTAACTGCCTGGGGCCTGCAGCCACTGAGGCTGAGCCCCAAGCCCTTTATCGGCAAAGGCCAGCAGTACTGTGTCTCGGAGCCCCAGATTCACGCGCGGCAGCTGCACCATCCTCCCAGGGCCCGAGTCTGCTAGACGCCATACTAGCTCCGCAGGATCGCAATCACTGACGGTACCGCCCGCCCAATCCCACAGTGACAGAGAATACGCTATATACTCACCAAAACCAGACAGAAACGCCATACAAGCTAGACACACCAGGCGCTGGGCCTCCGAAGCTTGGAGAGCACAGTAAAGAGACCCCAGGACTTCCCAGAAAGCATCTGGACTAGCAACCCAGTCTCCAGTTACAGCGGGACTTTCTAACCTGGCGGCGGAGCAGCACTGAGCTGGCGGGGCACATCAGCCCTCCAGTTTAAGACTAACCAGGGCCAAACCAGAGAACAGAAAGGCTGATTACCCCGATTCCCACTGACGTGACCACCCTGAAATCTCCAGCTGCAGCAAGACCTCATAACCTGGCAGTGACAGCAGCACGGAACTGGCGGAGCACATCAAAGAAGCAGGGCCAAACCAGAGAGCAGACAGCCCAGATACGCCGATCTCTGCCAAGTGTCCTGCCTGTAAGTGAGTGCACCCTTGAGAATCTGCAGCTCCCCTGATCCTGGGTTCTTCTAAAACAGAAGCCAGGCATCGAACCCCCTCCCACCCATATACCCACTTTGGGAAACAGAGGGGCACTTGGAACATTGAAGTTCCTGCTCTGTGGGTCTAATTGAGGAGTTAAGGCAGTTAATGCCAGAAATTGCGCTGCGATCATCACTAGCGCCTGCGACATATACATTGCAGAGCCCCTCCCACACACTCAAGGGTTCAACATTAGCCATCACTCTGTCCCTCGAGACACACGCCCACACCCACTTACACACACACACACACACATATACACACACACGCACGCACGCTTGCATTTGCCTCTGTTTGCACCTGCGTACTTTCCTCCCACAGGTACAGCTAGTCCTCAGCATACGCTAAGGACACAGGACCTCTCTCAACTTCCTGAAGAATTCTCCAGACTCGAGAGAGAGACAGTACCAGTCTGATCGGCTGAATCCAAAAACAAACAGGGAAGGTCTCAGATAAGCCAATGGCCAGGGGTAGGCGAAAGAACATTTCCAACATAAATCAGGACATCATGACTTCACCAGCAAACCCCAAAATCGATGGATACTCCAATTCATCAGAAGCACAGGAAAATGACCTTAAAGCCATGCTTGCTCAATTATTTGAGGCTCATAAGGAGGAAATGAACAAATCTTTCAAAGAGATGGCCAGTCAATTGGAGGTAAAGAAAGAAGAAATAGACAAAACCCTTAAAGAAACACAGGCAAACATAGCCAAACAAATAGAGGCACAAGTAGAGAAGAAATTAGTGGCATACAAAAAGGAAATGAACAAAGAAATAGAGTCCATCGTAGAGAGACAGGAATCCAAATTCAAACACATAAAAGAAATGGTGCAAGGCATGAAAACAGAATTAGAATCAATAAAGAAAACACAAAGTGAGAAAACTCTTGAGCTGGAGAACTTGGAGAAAAGATCAGGAACCACAAAAGTAAGCATCACCAACAGAATACAAGAGATGGAAGAGAGAATCTCTGGAGCTGAAGACACACTTGCAGAAATTGATACTTCTCTCAAAGAAAAAGTAAAATCAGAAAAATTCCAATCACAAAATATCCAAGAAATCAAGGATGCTATGA